TTATGGTTACCAAGTGGGAGAGGGAGTGGGAATGGATAAATTGGGAGTTTGAGATTTGCAGATACTAACTACTATATATAAAATAAGTTTATACTGTATAGCACAGGGAACTGTATTCAGTATCTTGTAGTAGCCTATAGTGAAAAAGAATGAAAACTGACTGAAACATGCTGTACACCAGAAATTGACATATTGTAAACTGACTATACTTCAAAAAATAAATAAAACTAAAAGTTCATTTGTTTTCTTGGAGGAATAGTTCCTTTGCGGAAGTATGCCACAAATTTTTATCTATTCTCCTATCAAAGTGTATTTAGGTTGTTCCCAAAAGTTTCTGCTGTGTGCCTCTATGAACATTCTTGTGTATGTCTCTTGTATGATAGTATCTTAGTTATATGCTAATACATGGATTGCTGAATGGTAGATTATGCAAATATTTAGCTGAATAAAATAATGCCAACCCTCCATATCATTAAGATGGGGGGGCAGTGTAAATGCTATCTTTTTGTGGTCTTATTGAAGACATTAAAGATTACATTATAACCCTGACTTTTTGTACCAAATATTTGACAATTAGTTCTTTATGAAATCTTATGTGATTGTTCTGTATCCTCACTTATAATCCTATTACTACCACCCCGACCCCACCCAACTTGAGAGCAGTGATTATATGTTCTCCCTATCCCTGCCAGCATCTGGCATTGATTGCCCTATGTGACTAGTAGGCATGCAATGAGTAGTCGTTGAGTCAATGAAATAGTTATTGCTGTTTCTGTAATGTGCCCACAGTTGCTGATACAGGTTTCTGTACTCAGGCTCCCAATAAACACAGGTGATAATGGGCCACAAAGCAATAACCTGAACTGAACCACTTAACACCCTTATCAAGAACATGATTTCTTCCTCTGTATGTGTAGACACTGATTTTAGTTACTGCTGCCTTTCATCAGAGAAACCAGAAAGGCTGTCATATTACTGTCATTTACTAAGCACTTATGATCACATTTATTGGGATAAGCATCAATCAAACCATTAAGAAGACTGTTCTAGGAATTCTATAAGCACACCTTTAAACTGCTATTAATCAAAAAATACCTTACCCTCTGTTTTGTGTGTGGAGCTTACAAAAGTACTGAACCAGAGTAAATTGAACTTCATGATTACCTGGCCCTCTGTCCTATGTCCAGGTAAATTTGGTTTGAAACAAATATCAGGAATAACCCTGAATTAGAAATGTGACAGTTGAAATGTGGGAAGAAAGGAGAAGTAGTGTAAGGAAATACTTTGGCTTCACCTGTAGCAAGGGGAGAAATGAGGATTCTGCATTTGAAGGTTACTGTCCAAGTTTCACAGACATCTGAAGAAGGGTTACAGTTGTATTGCGGTTTTGAGAGAGGCAGTCAACTCACTTACCTACCACCTGCTCTTTCTTCCTGAAGTCTGTGTGGCTAGAACTCTTCAAATAGAAGGGGGGAAATCCTAAGAATGAAAAAGGAAGGTTCTTCAACTGGATAGGAAGTGGGACAAAGACCATGAGCCTTGGAAACAAGTTGGATGAAACCTCTGTTTCATAATGTTCTCCTTTAGTAATTAGTACAAATGATTTTGATAATTTCAATCATCTCAGCTACCCTCAGTGAAACCAAAGAAATGGTAAGTTCCTCCTTGGGTGAGAAATTCATAGAAGTTATGTCCTTCCCTGAGAATCAGCTGTTTTGGCAGTAGTCAGCTAAATAGGAGAACGCCAGACAGAAGGGGAAACTCATGAGGACCAAATAGGGGCCAGCTGGTCAGTTGAGCTTCCCTAATATTGGCCAAACAGAAAGATCTGTTTGTGTAAACAAAGGAAGCTGCTACCCGATGCAGAAATAACAAAGGAGAAAAGAATGATATTCTCACTGTATACCTCTGAGAGTAATTCTTAGCACAAGCTAAGCAAAATCCTTCAGTCTGACCTGCCGGCTGCACATCTGCAGATAGTCTAAAATGTTTCTGCCTTACCATGGGGCTCTACATCCACCTCTCTTCAGCGAAACTGCTCCTTGAAGGTAGTTCTTCCTAGATTTTTTATTCCTAGAGTACGGCCCCTCTACATATTCAATACATATTTATTAAGTGAAAGAAAGAAAATTAATTTCCTCACCATTTTATAGAGCAATCTTCCAGAAACAAGGAGCAGCCATCACTGGTGAGTTCCTAGCAGTAGAGGATTTTATCTCTGAGTAATCTGAAGTTGATTACTTTTCTTCACTTATGTCTCCTGCAGACAGTGCTGAGTGACCTCGGTGGACTCTGTCAGAGTTTAGATTGAAAGAATAGTGCCCCAGATGTACGAGGAGATCTCAGGAAATTCCATTTGATTAAGAGTAGCTTTTTTTCAGCTCTTTTCAGAAACCTAGATGTCAGACTCTAGAAGTCATACCTGTCAAACCAAACTCTGTACCTGGAGATGGTTGCATCTCTAATCTAACATTTATGCCAATGATCTTGCTTTTAGTCCCTCCATATAAATGCATAATTAAACAGGGTGTTTTCAAAACACAATTTCAATGAAGAAAAACTTAACTCATAATAAAAAAGCAAAATAAAACCACAATGAGATGACATGCTTCACATATTGGATAAAATTTTATAACACTTTATAGGAAAGGGTATAGCAAAAGAGGCATTCATACTTTGATGTGGAGGCATGATTGAAACAAACTGTTTAAAAGGTAGTATGTAATAGTTATCAGCAGCTAATATACCCAAACCTGTAGGACCCAGCAATCCCACTTTTAGGGTGCCAGAGAAAAAACTTGCACATGAGAACACAGATACTCATCAGCACGTTTTTTTCAAGTAAAAGACTATAGAGCAATTAAAGGAAATGTGCACATACATACAGTTAGATCTCAAAAACATTTTATTGAGTGAAAAAAGCAAGTTTAAGAAAGTCATGTTACCATGCAAAAGAGAGTTAACATAGCAGCCTGAGACTGCTATTCTTAGAAAGACCTGCTTGCAAGATGTGAACTTAGAGCAATCCCACTATTCTTTGGTAAGAAGGGTGCACTGTGCCTAAACTGTACAAACATGTGGTTTATGCTGAACACCTGCTTACTTTCTGGGAGTCTGGAATGTTGGTACCTGCCAGATAGAGTGTGCCTTTGTGATCTGCCCTGAATAAAAACCTGGGCACTGAGTCTCCAATGAATTTCCCTGGTAGACAGCATTTCATTGCTGGAGGAATTAAGCACATCTTGCAGGACCACACTGAAAGAGAACTTTCGGAAGCTTGCACTTGGCTTCCCCTAGCCTTCACCCCATGTGACTTTTTCCTTTGTTAATTGTGCTTTATATTATTTTTCTGTAATATGCCATAGCCATGAATACAACCTTACATTGAATCTTATGAGTGCTCCTAGTGAGTCACTGAACCTGGGGGTGTTCTTGGGACCACCAAATCAGATCCTTATAGCATTTGTGTAAAACAAGAGAAAAAAAGCACACACACTAGACTATGACTTTCAATGGGTATACAATTTCATGTATATGTATTTCTTAAAATCTGAAAGGATACACAGCAAACTTATTTCAGTGGTTAACTGTGGGGAGAAGGGGAAGGCAGAGGAGAAAAGGGGGCTGAGACTTTGGTATGCTCTAGTTTATTTTCTTTTTTTAAGGAAAATATACTCATGTAATGCATAGATGGAAAAAATATTTTAAGTTGATTTCAAAATAATTTCAGCCTGCATTTAGAGTCACAAAATTTTACAGCTGCTACAGAATTTAGAATTCACCTAGTGCTGCCCATTACAAAGATACAGTGTAAACATATGCTTAGAGAGGCAAATGTCTTGCTTTGCGTGACATAACTTGTAGCTGGGACCACAACTCCCAGTCCAGAATGCTTCCCAAGTCTGCTATTGCTTGGTAAGTACTATGGCAGAAAAATCAATCTTCTTTTTTGTTATTACGAAGGTCCGGAAGGTCTCAATTGTTATACTGGGTTTCATAGCAGCTTGTATCAAAGTTCAGCACATTATCAATGCCATACTTCCACGTGTAACAAAACTCCACTGGAAGAAGATAAGAATTGGACTATAGTTCCCTGGGAAATACAGCTTTTAAGAGATGACAGTATTAGATCACACCACTCTGCATTGCTTTTCTTCTCCTTCTCCTTCGTTAAAATAAAGGGCCAACATATCAAGCAATGGGATTTTTCGGAAACACAGTCAATGGCTTGCAAAAAGGATTTATGACCTATTTCTACTTTTTGAAACAATTCAGGACTTTAAATACTAACCCCCATATATTGCTACTGCTCAATGGTAAAACTACTTTGGAAAACTGTCCGGCAGTTTCCTATATAGTTGAATATACACTTACGCTATGACTCAGCAATTCTACTACTCGATACTTCAAGAGAAAACATGTCCACACACAGAGTTTAGGAGAATGTTTATGTCAGTATTATTCATAGTTTTCAAAACCTGGAAATGACCACATGTCTCTCAACTGGTGAATATATAAACAAAACGTGGTCTATCCAAACAACTGAATTCTACTCAGTAATAAAAAGAAACAAACCACTGTAATACACAACATGGATGAGTATCAAAAACACTGTGGTGAAAGAAGCCAGACTAAAAAGAGGGTGTGATTCCATCCATACAGCATTCTAGAACAGACAAAACTAATCTATGGTAGTAGAAAGCAGATCAGTGGTTGCCTGGAGCTGGGATGGGTGAAAGGTTTAGCTGGGGAGGGATGCATCACAGGGTGAAGGAAATATTCTTAATCTTGTTTAAGGCGGTGGTTTCACAGGTGGACACATTTGTTAAAACTCATCTAATTGTACACTTAAAATGGGTGTATTTTATTGCATGTAAATTATATGTCAATAAAGTTCATTTTAAAAATAAAAAATAAAACAAAACAGAAAATTAACTCTAATAACCAAAATTAAGGAAAACTACTTCAACATTTTAAAAAATCCAACACTGCACACTGACTATACTTCAATAAATTATATATACATTAAAATTTAAAAAGAAAAAGAAAATGTATCAATAACCAATTTCAAGTAGTATTGAAATCATTGTGTTTTTCCCAAGAAATGTATTGTTTGTTGAATTGTTAAGAGATATGTGACCTGTGTGATCATGTTTCTCTATTTACGTTGGGTGTTAGGAAGCTTATGGTCTAATCTGTGGCCCACTCATAGCAAAAATTCAAGACCGTTATGAATGTTCCTTGGGTACTAATCTCATCTCTCGCTTCTTACTTTTTGCTCCTATGATTATTTTCTCTTCTTCCTGATTTCCTTACTTAGCTTTTCAGCAACTTTCATATATTTTTTTCAATACACATTGTAATAGGTTACCTATATTTAAATGAAGTAATACAGGTGATGGATGTGTAACATTTGAATCTCCGAGTTTTGTGTGTATGTGTGTGTGTGTGTGTGAGAACAAATAATTGCTAATCTTCTCCAAGATTTAGTGTTTTATTTTCAAAAAAGGTGGATGGACACAAAGAGACAGAGAACATATATGAGAGGAAAAAATAACTTTGTCATGGAACCCCACCCAACTGCTCTACACTATAATGAAGGGTTAGAGATGTCATGTGTCTGTCATACAGGATTCATTTGGCCTCCATTGGCATATTTATGGCCCTGTTCTTCGTTTTAGAAGTTTCTGTGTAATCCCTAATATATTCCTCAACACAAAACGGTCTGCCTGTATAAAGACATTTAAAGTCAAGAAATGCTAAATGCTCCATAAATCTTTTGGGTATTTTTGAATAAAATGCAGAGTGAGTATTTCATTATATTAAAAAGAGAGGAAAACAATAAACTAAGGGGAAATATTTTCACCAAATGTAATAGTTGAAGTGCTAATAACCATAATAGAAAAGCTTTCATATAAATTTATGAGAAAAAAATAACAGTTCAATTGATAAATGGACAACACATACAATTTAAAAATAAAATTCCAAAGTAAACAGTGTATAAAAAATGTTTATGGTACTCCAAATGTGGGTGACATTATAAATTAGTGCAATGTTGTTGAGACAATACAGTAATTTATACAAGGAACTTAAACATATGCCCATTCCTTTGACACCTGTGTCCTAATCCTGAGAATTTATCTTAAGGAAATAATTAAAAAGAAGGAAAAATCATATGTCATTACAATATTAAAAATGTTCATTATTAATCATATGTCACTACAATTTTAAAAACTGATCTAGCTATCCAATAATAGAACAACTTTGTAACTTTTGTTAAATTATACAATTATTAAAAGAACTAGTTAATTTTAACTGAAAGTACCTAAAATTTCATTTACTATTATTATAGCTATTTAAATTCTTCTGTATTCAAACAAAGAGCATAAGGGAACATGGAAAAACAGACACTATTGATACCTTAGGGAATTATGAATTTTGCTTTTTGGAAAAGTATACTTTGTAAATATCTTCTAAAATTGCCATAACATGGTTAGCATGGTGTTTTACACATGGAAACAGGAAGCCATTTCCTCTCTTAGTAACTGGCCCCTCCCTCTATAGCCCCAGCCCTGCACGCTGTTCCCTGTGGAGTGGAACCAATGCTGGTGGCTCTGTCTTCGACCTCACCTGAGGAACCAGGTACTGATGGTCCCAGCATCATATTAAGGGGGCTCCACAGAGCCAGAAAGCTCCAGTGGTTGATAGACTGGTATGATCCAGTCAGCACTTTTGGACCAGGTTTCCCAAGCGCTGGCAAAGAATACCAAGCAACAACAAACAGAGCAATGAGCTTGAGAATGATCTCCCTTTGTGGGTAACAGAAAAAAAAGAGGCAAGATAAACTTCAAAATGGAAAGGGTAAAAGAAAAAGCAATCCAGACTCTGACAGTTAAACAGAGAGCCCTGAACTGTTAGTTATGACTCAGGAAAAGGAAATCAAAGGTCTGGGTGGTTGTTCCCCGAAGAAACTACATATGCTGCCACAACTAAGAAGGATACAGGGGACTGTTTTCACACAAAGTAAACCAGAAACAGGGAACATTGGCCCCACAGAATACCATGAAAACCAGTTCTGCAGTACCCTGAGTCTGTCTTTCCTACAATTGTCTTTTTAAGTAACATTAGCCTTCGGCTCCTATAGTCCCTATCCTTGCTCTTCAACTTCCAAGGTTCCAAATAATTTCTCCCTTTTCTTACCCACCCCATTCAAATCTTGCTCAGCCAAGGATCTAAGAGGCTCATTCAGAGTAAGGGAAATGATTGATAAGCCTGCAAGTGGTTGTTTTCCCAAGACGTACTCATATTTTGCCAGAAGATATAGTGGGACCACCTCAATGTTTTGCTGCCAGCATCCCATCCTCAGTGTAACTGTCCACTCTCCGCTCCAGGACATCCTGTCAACCAGCTCATCCCCCATCCCTCCACTCCATAGTGGGTATATGACCCAGGCTGGGTCAACATTCCCTGCATATAATGCCTGTGGGCACACAACTGTCAAGGTGTGCCAGCTCCTTGGTCCTTTCCTCTCCCTGGCCCTGCTTTGCTCTGTATCACAGGTGACTGAGCCCCACAGGTTCCTGGCTGCAGCCAATGGGAGACCCCAATGTGGAGCTGTAGGTCAGGAGGAAGGAGGTGCCAGCGGCCAGTTTCCAGCCATGAAAACTCAGTGTGAGGATGAAGTCAAAACAGAAGGACAAAAAGCCACGAAACGGAGAGAAAAAGAGAATCCCTACACTTTCTTTGAACTCCTTGCATTTGAACTCTACACCTAAAGTTAGTGGATATTTTATGTCCCAAACCAGAACACTTGAAAGGAAAAGAGACTGCTGATAATACTTAAGTCAGGACAACAGGACCAAATTGCGACTGGCTCAGGCAAACCAGAACATATAATCACCCTGCCTAAAACCCCACTCAGCCCTTGGACTTTACAATTAATTGAGCCATTAAATCCTGTGACACTTAATCTGAGTTGGATCTCTATCACTAAACAGATTCCTAACCAGTGCATGAGGTAAAGGCTTAACACAACAGAATTATTTCTAAGTGGCAGGATTTCAGGGTAGGTGGGCCACAGCAATACCCACCTGGCTTATCCTCCACAATACGCATGTAAAGCTCGCACATTCATGGTGCAGCCATTCCAGGAACATTATGTGGAATTTTGGTTGCTCTACCCCCAAGAATGCTGAAAAAAGTGCAAAGAAAACTAAAACCACCCTCAGGCTAAATGGGACTCTTTGGTAATTTTTTTTTCACATTTAAAGTGGCCTTTACTTCAGGTTTATTTTCATCTGAATATAAATTTCAGGACATACAGTAGGTCAACTACATCTTACAACTTTCCCAAAGTCCAGCTCCTATCTAGGGACAGCAGTGTCACACCACTAAAAACACTGGCCTCTGAGGACTGTTTTACATCTATATTCTTTTTACTTTTTCCCGCTGTCCTTTAAAGTCTCAATTATACTACAAATGCAATAGGCTCTTGGCTCACCTAGAAATCCAACAGTCATTTATATTAAAAAAAAATGTCCTTTAAAGCGTGGTAAGAAGGATATGCCGCAGCTCACGTGACATTTGTTAGTCCCTTAGATCAGGGCACTTACAGCAGCTGCCTAGTTTATGACAAAACAGAACACAGCAATTCAAAGGCTGTATCTCCTGAGTCCAGCGGGAGTGCTCCCCACCCCAAGGGAGGTCATTTTTTATCTAGAAAGCCATTCATAATGCAAGTGTTTGAAACTCCATGAGTAGCTAGATCTTTTAAAAGCCATAAGGGGTGACTGTGACTAACTCTTCATTTTTTGAGTCTCAGTGTCATTTCATCAATAAAAGGACAGATAAAGAAGTGGAAGGAATTACCTAGACACTTTATTTAGTAACTGGCTAATTTTTCTCTATCTCATTGCCTACTTCTCATAGGGCGAACTCTTCTGAACACAAAATATGCTTTTTTAACAGAAGGTTAAATTGTTGCAAAATTCTTAATTGGAAATAAAATCATAAGCACATACAAGTTTAAAATATTCACAGATCAAAAATATGATACCTACAAGCAACTCCCTGCAGTGTTCATCAGGAGTCATTTTGTTCCAGCAGGTAAATTTTTCTCTTCACATCCTTTTCAGTAAATTGTAAACGAACTTGTTTTAGGTTCTACATTTTTATCACAGGTGTCACATAGACTATGGTACAGGGAACAATGATAGTCAAATTATTCTGAATGCTGAGTAGAATTCTTCACCTCATTGGGGTAAGAATCTATTGAATAACAGAAAAACTGCCAACTCTATTATCCCTGATGATAATAAACAACAAGTTTTACCTGATTCTTAGCCTGGAGCAAAGTAAACCTAGGGAGATTTTCTGGGAAGAGACAGGGTAATAAAGGAAAGAAGTAGAAAAAGTGAAACTTACATGAGTTGAATAAAGAGGACCACAAGAGGCAGCAGTTTCACTGTCTAAGTGCTTGGGTTTGCTTGGTCACTCTGAGAGTGCGTCTCGTCCTCGTTAAGTTCAGATGGCTCCAGCAGCCTGAAGTGTTCATTCAGGGCTGGAAACGCCCTAAGCATGTTGTACATCCTCACGCGCAGCCTCAGGGTGGTCATGGATGGCAGCGCCTTCACTCTCCCAGTGGATGACGACAATGACTTCAACAGTTTGGAAGCTTCATCCTGGAAGATTTTTGTTCTGACCGTGTAAAGGAAAAAAATCTGCAACCCCTGGCAGATAGAATCAAAGTTTAATATTAGATAAGTATTGAGATATAGAATCAGAGAAGAGATTTTATTTCACTTGCCACCCTTCTCATCATGCACAAGAACTTGAGTTTCCCAGCCAGCAGCTGCTGTGTACTTTTTTGTCTCAGAGGGTTGAGGCAATGTTCTTCTCATATCTAAGTGCTACATGGAAGAATGTACGTCGAAGCCCTGAGTTCAGGTCCCCATTTGCCAAATGTTAGCTATGCAACCATGAGGTTTCTGTTTTCCTCCTGACACCAACCAACTGGGACACCAACCTGGTGTCTTCCAGTTCAGTTCAGTTCTGACACCAACCACCCAGAGTTAGCATCAGACTCCACAGGTTAAGGGCTCAGTCCCACGAGATTTCCCTCACTTCACATGCCAGTCACCAGTGTTGGGTCCCCAGGTTGTCCGCACTTCTGTCGACCTGGTTACAGCCTCCCCACTTCAGGTTTGACAACCTGCTAGAAAGACTGACAGAACTCACTCAGGAAGGAGTTTCACTTACTAGTATCTGTTCATTATAAAGGATACAAGTCAGAAACAGCCAAACAGAAGAGATTATAGGCAAGAGCAGGAAGCTTCCATGCCCTTTTCCAGTGTGTCCCCCTCCCGGTACTTCAAACTGTTCACCAACCTGGAGGCTCTCCAAACACCTTTATTTAGGAGTTTTTATGTAATCGCATTACACAGGCATGATTGATTAAAACATTGGCTACTGGTGACTGACTTAATCTCCAACCCCTCTCTCATTCTGGAAGTTGGTGGGTAGAGCTGGAAGTCCTAAGCTTCTAATCAAGTCTTGGTCTTTCTGGCGACCAGTCTCCATCCTAAAGCTATCTTGGGGCCCCAGCTACTGGTCATCTTATTAGCATACAAAAAACACCCATCACTCAGGGGACTCCAAGGATTAAAGGAGCTATGTGCTGGGAACTGAGGACAAAAGACTAAATATTAATTTTTTAGTACACCACAGTAACTTTGTTCTTTTTCTGACACCTATGATCTTCAATTTCCTAACAGAGGCAGATTGACTATGGGTTACCTAATTCTTCTCACAGTTCTAAAATTCTGTGATTCTACATTTCTTGGGCTTTTAGTAACATAACTAGAAGTTTGGTGCATTTAAGGACAAAAAAAATTTTAAGCACTTCTACCCATTGCTTTTCTGTACTTTACATATGAAGACCAAATGTGCACAAGGAGTTAAGCCACAAAGTAACTGAGAACTATTTTCTATGCATTTTAAAATAAAATCTACCACTTACTGAAGTCCTATTAATATCAGACACTTGCTTTTAATTCAATCTTTATTATTTAATCCTTCTCATTTAATCATAGTATCAACCCTGTAAAATAAACCTTAACTATCCCTATGCTAAAGATGAGGAAACTATAGCTCAGATAAATAAAATAACTCGCCTAAGATTATTCAACCAGTAATCAGTAGAGCCTGGAATTGAACTATATGTTTGGCTCCAAAATGCCTCTGTTCAATACACTCCAGGCTCTCACTTGTAACTGTAATAGAAAGATAATGTAAAGTGTATTATAGCATTTGAAAGACCCCTGTTGTAACTTCCCATTAATATTCTTTGTGGAAAAAAAACAAATCAAAAACATCTATAGTTGAGTTGAGAGTATTGTGTCAACGTTCATTTCTTGATTTTGGTGATGTTATACAGGACATTATCATAGGGGAAAGCTGGCCAAAGGGTACATAGGAACTCTGTACTATTTTTGCAACTTCTTGTATTAAACTATTTCAAAATAAAAAGTTATTTTTTAAAAATCCTTGGATGTCTCCTAGGTTGGCAGCTATAGGGCCCTAAGCCTTAAAAGGATGTATTTCCTGAATCATATCCTAGAAATACTGATACAGGAGACTTCTAGTGCTCTGGTGAGATAACTCTGAGAGTTTGGCTAAGAAAATCAATACATATTGGCAAGAGATAGATGAGTTCTCTGGCCAAAAGCAGGAAGATAAACTTATATACCCAACAGGTGGTACCTAACTCCTCAGAAGAAGGCTTTAATGACACAAGGAAGCGTGCAAGGGGACATGGACTTTAGAAGGACAAAAGTAGTCACTGGCCAACCTGACTGTTCAAGGGAGAGAAGTTTTGTTTGGGGGACATGAAAAATCTGGTCTCTAGAGAAGCATCCTCTTTGTGGTGTACACTATTTCACCTGGCTTTTCATCTACTGTGAAAGAATCACACAAGCATGTTTCTTGCACTATAGAACTGATTATCTAGTTGAGGAGATGAAACTTGTACACATGAAAAGTTAACTTTTGAGTACAAGGGAAAAAGGGACAAAAGAATTTACAAAACTACAATAATTCTATTTTATTTGATAAAAATATATGTATTTATTTAATTCATAGTTAAATTAATAAAGCCATCATTTCAAGGGATTAAAGCCTGTAAGTAAATAATGTATGTGGATTGTACCAATGTCAGTTTCCTGGGTTTGATTATATATTACAGTTACATAAGATGTTATCATTGGAAGAGCTGGGTGAAGGCTACATAGGAACGCTCTGTATTATTTTTATAACCTCTTATGAGTCCAAAATTATTTCCAAAAAAAAATTTTAAGGGATGAAATAAAAGTGAAGAGAACCAAAAAAGTTTTTAAATAAAAAGAATTCTGACCTTTCTAAGACTTTTTCCCACAAGGTAATATCTCAGTAAGTCTACAGAATTTCAATCAAAAAAAGATTATTGCCAAGAATTAAATGCCAAACTAATTTGAGGTTCACAAGTCATGGTACCTAAAGAAAAACTATCAGCTAGGAAAATCTTCATTATTTACTAACTATCCATTAAACAATTACTCAAAAATACTCTATCATTAATGAGAAATTCATTGAAATTTAAAAGTCAAAATAATAGGACATTCCAATATAGAAGGGCTGGCAAAAGACACTGAAACTATTTAAGTATAACAGAATGCAATTAGCATAATTATCAAACAAAACCCAAATGCTATAAATATTTCTTGAAAGAAAATAATGTAGACAATATAATTTAACAATAATAATTTTTTGATAAATTTTAAATTGTACCAGTAAAACCAGGAGACAAGCAGCAGCTAAATTGTGTTCATACTATTACCTTTAAAAGAGAATGATCAAAACACAATGTTTTACTCTGGAAATTGAAAATTGTTTCATAAATTGTAGTAACAGCTAATAAAAATAATTAACAGGATGAAAATGTTCTAATAATAAGAGAAGGCTAAGTAAAAGAAAATATAATTTATATAGCACAGTATGTAAAACTAAGGAAGAAATCATGGATACATGTGAAAAAGGGAAATAAGATGTCAGAATAAGACCAAACATATCTGTTTTGATAGCTAATATTTAGCTAAATAGATAAAAGGTTAACTTTTTAAATGAAATGGAAAAACAATGAGAAAATGATTATAAAAATACAAATCTAAATTATGGGGTCTAAAAAGAGGTAAGTAAAAAACAAAATGACACAGAAAGTTTAAAGACAAAAGAACTAGCATAATTAGACTAGATAAAATCAAATAAAAGCAAATTAGAAGTTGCTATATTAATATACACAAAATTAGATTTCAAAATTAAATGGGACTGTGAGTGACTCATTATACTGATAAAAGGTATAATGCACCAGAAATATACAACATTCAAAAATTTTAGAAACATGATAATATGGCATTAAACTGTATAAAGACAAACAGCTAAATGCTATAAGAAAAACTGATAGAAAAATAAGTGACAAAGGGAATTTTACAAAGACTTTCTCAGGCTTTGATGAACAAGTTAAAGGTAAATAAGATTTTATAAAAAATTATTTGAAAACTATAACATCTTTAAAAAGTACGTATGTGACATATAGAAGTATTGCCAGAAGGTAATCACAATAAACATTAAATTGTAATTTTTTTAAGCTAATAACAGTCTATGTAAAATTTTAGGAATCATCCCTTTGCTTTCAGGGTTAGAGGTCTGGCGCTTAAGGAGAGAACCTTTACTAAGGAGCACTTTTTCATGCCTCACGAAGGTGGTCCAGTGATCACATTTGTTCAGACAAGTGATCCCGGTATGAGGTGGGGGCGTACTTTAAAAGAAGGGTACTTTCCATTGTTGGTGGGAATATAAATTGGTGCAGCCACTATGGAAAACAGTATGGAGGTTCCTCGAGAAATGAAAAATAGAACTACCATATGATCCACCAATTCCACTCCTGGGCATATACCCAAAGAAAATGAAAACACTAAAAAATAAAACAAACTAGTGAATATGACAAACTAGTGGTTATCAGCGGGGAGAGAGAAGGGGAGGAGGGGCAAGATAGGGGTAGGGGATTAAGAGGTACAAACTACCATATACAAAACAAATAAGCTACACGGGTATATTGTAAAGTACAGAGAATATAGCCAATATTTTAAATAACTATAAATGGAGTATAACCTTTAAAAATTGTGAATCACTATGCTAAACAATTGAAACGTATACAATATTGTGAATCAACTATACCTCAATTAAATAAATAAATAAGTAAAAGAATGGTACTTTCATTATATTGAAATATAATTCAGTTTGCCAGCTAAGAAACTCTATATAAAGAGAGACAAACCTTTGTAATACTTTTCAACAGAGTAAACAGCAGTATTTGCTATGGGAGGAGGCATAATGTAAGAAGCACAGAAAGAATCCCTGATTCCAAGTCTCTCAATAATGCCTCCTTGCTTTATTTTAAAGTTCTGACACTCTCCACAAATAACACACAAATACAAAAGAATAAAAACAAAAACATTATGAGGACAAAGAGAATTATTTTTATTTTCACCTCCCATTTTGATTTATCTATATTTTTGCCATGATGAAAATCAGAAGGTGACCACAATCCTTAGTCTAAATATTCTTACAGCAGATGCTCCCAAGATATTAATAGCATGGTTCCCAGAGGAAAAAAGGATATACATCTTCCTTTATGAAATCAATGCCACTTAGAATCATGTCAAAACAATGAAGTACTTAGAAACAGATTAAACCAAGGATAAACCTAGACACTGAAAACCATGGCATTGATGAAAAAGACTAAAGAAGACAAAAACAAATGGAAAGATTTCCATGTTCTAGGGTTGAAAAACTAATACTGTGAAAATTTTCATTTACCCAAAGTAAACTAAAGATTTGATACAACCCCTATCAAAATTCCAATGGTGTTTTTCACAGAAATAGAAAAAAAATTATCCTAAAATTTGAAATCATCATCTTAAAGAGAAAACTTCACACCCATGTTCACTCCAGCATTATTCGCAATAGCCAAGATATGGAAACAACCTAAATGTCCTTTGATGGATGAACATAAAGAAAATGCATGATAGATATAAACATGGACTATTATTCAGCCAATGAAAAGAAAGAAATCCTGCCACTTGTGACTATACAGATGAACCTGGAGGGCATTATGATAAATGATATAAGCCAGAGAATGACAAATACTATCTGGTATTACTAACATGTGGAATTTTTTTTTAAAGCCAATTTCACAGAAACAGAAAATAGAATGATGGTTGCCTATGGCTAGGAGGAGAGGTAAGCAGGATAATGTACGTCAAAGAGTACAAATTTTTCCATTATTAAAAGAATAAGGATCTAATGTACAGCATGGTAACTATAGTTAATATAGTATTGTGTATTTAAAAGTTGCCAAGTAGTTCAGCATTATCATCACACATACACACACACATTATTAACTGTGAGGTGATGGATGTGTTATTTTGATCTTGGCAATCATTCAACATGTATATGTGTATCAAATCATCAAGTTGTACACTTTAAAATACAGAAATATAGTTGTCAGTTATTCCCAATTATTCCAATAAAGTTTTTTAAAGATAAGATAAATAATCATAAAATTTCAAAAAAGAGAGAAATAAAAAATTCAGCAAACCCCAAAGAGGTCCAAGTTCCAGGAATCACTGTAACATGCACCACACCAGTCACAGTGAGAACCTGCTATGAACCTGTTGTATCAAGGAAAGGGACAGGAGCTATTTCCCAAGCTAGTTGCTCAACAAAATTTCTCCTGGTCAGAGAAGAGGGACTAACATGGTCCAACCCTACTGCAATTATATTCTATGAACTCCAGGCTCAGGAAAAGATACAGTAGGTTAGTCATAAAAAGCTATTTTTCCCCTTCCCTAACAAACTGTATTAAAAATAGTCTCCTAAAGGTAACTAAGCAATGACCTTGAGGGAGTTTTAAGATAAGAAAACTTTGGTCCAGTGTGGTATCATCTCCACCACCCGACGGCTGCTACTCTTAGACTAATGCACACCATACCTGAGTAGTGTTGAAAAGGCAGAATATGTAGCTGAAGACGATCATGACACTATCATCACCAATTAGCATTAAGTATGCCAGAATCCAGGTAATTCCAAAAACAACTGCAATAGATAATGTGCTAAGAATCTTCTTTATGGATGAAAACTTCTTTGTGCTAGGTAAGGGAAGGCAAGAAAGAAAATATGGTTTGTGCAGCTTTGTACTTATTAATATCATTGTTACCCTCCTATTGAGAATACATATTTAGCTGCCCATATACACTGTTCACTGAACAATATATGTCTCAGGTGGAAAAAAGATGTTAGTCCTATACCTATGGCACTCTGGATAAAATACAGAATAAATAAATATACTAATAAAGGAATACACTTAAAAGCTCAGGCATAAACAGTTCCTTAAATACTATTGCAGGCAAATTTCACAAAGAATCAACCTGTTTTTTAAAACAGAATTTTATTTTAGTGATTATTACTACTGTGATCAGCCAGTAAGAAATTCCTTTTGGGGGCATCTGGGACCTTCCCATGCCATAGGCTGATATAGGAAAGAAAAGTTATCAAAATGTAGATTGATCTTCTTCCCTGTCATGGTAAGTCTGTATCCCTAGAATCTGAGTTTGGCCATAAGACTTACTTTGACCAGTGGGACACTAGCATTTGTTCCACAGACGCTTGAAAGCATTCTGCTCATTACAGCATGACTTTTCTTATTGCTCTTTGGAACCCTGAGAGCACTATAGTAAGAAGCCTGGCTGGACTGGTCTAATAGAAGATGAAAGACCACATGGAGCAGAGATGAGCTTTCCCAAGCGAGCAGTTACCAGCCAACCACCAACCATCAGGCATGAAAGTATATCATCCTAGATTATCCATCAGCATTCAAGCCAGCCAAGACCAGAACAACTACTTGACCAACATTCAAATTTATGACAAATAATAAGCATTGGTCATTCTAAGCCACTAAGTTTTGGGATAGTTTGTTATGCAGCAAAAGCTAATTGATACATGGAAGATAATTTGTTAAACAATTAAATTGTAACCTGATCTTCACTGTCACCAAGCCAATTTAAGAACCATGAGCTATCAGCCAAAATTTAGAAATACAAATTTGGTTGACTTCTGTGGCCAAACTGATACTGTTTTGTATACAGGAAATATAATCTAATTTGCAATTAGGCTAACAAGACTGTACCACAGTTTTCCTGCATTGCTAATAAAACACAGGTTTGAAAGGTTATCAGTGATATCTTTTTCCCATATTTCCCCTCAACACGGGCTTTAATTTATATAGGAAAAATGATACTCTTGATTGGTAAAGTACACATTTAAGATTACGTTTCTGCTAATGATGGTTGTTTTCACCCATCTGTTCATTCAAATGGATCTATTTGGTGTCCAACAAAGGTCACAGATGTGCTTATAGTAAGTCTACTTGAGTTAAGAAGAGTCTGTACAATTAAGCCTGAATTCATAGAACTGTGTTCTAACCAATCCATGCTGTGGGAGATGGAGGTGGGGAGGGGGACTGTACATGTTTAACAGTTTCTGTCCTCTGTCTCTCCAACTGAGAGCTCTTTCTGTTTATCAGGGATGACCATGAAAATGCCTACTGGAGGTCAGAAAGGTTACAGACAGAAGAGAAGCAGTCGACATGAAAACTGACAAACCAGAGACCACACGCCCCATCTTGATGGGAAATATGGACCCAATGTTGCCAGATTGTCCAATTTTTTTCAAGAGAAAATATAATTTTGAAGTGAAATCTCCCAATGTTTATGTTTGCAACACATTTTTTAAAATGTAAAGCTATTATGTGATTCAAGTAACACATGTAAAATATAACCCAGTTTCTAGTTCATAAAGTGAAAATACAGTTACCAGCATCCCCTCACAATCCTCTTATATTTTTAATTATTCAACTCTGAGTTCCTGAATATTTGGGGTGGGGGGAGAAATTTTTTCTTGATGTCTTTGGATTTAGTTTTCAGTTGGGCTCATATAGCACAGAAGCATGTTATGTAATGCAACAGACCCACACTGTAGTCTTGATGTTGGAAGATGAGAAGATCCACTTTCTGAGACAAAGTTCAAGAGAAAATCTGTCCTAAAAACCACATATCCCTGCCATTGCCCCAGGGTCTGAAACTCTTCTAGGAGTGGGGATGTATTACTGTGCTGTACTATGTCATAGCTGAGTCATGCCTGCCAGCTTCTCATTCACTGGGAATCTTACCTCGTCAGATTCTGGTTATTCTTCCACAGCACTTTGACTAAGATGATAATAAATATTACTACATTGCTGATGAGGATAATGGTCACAGGTACGATGAATGACCACAACAACGGACTTGTTATAAAACCATTGCCTTCTTCAACTGCCAGCCAGCAGCTATGGAGAGAAAAAGAAATGATTTCAGCAGACTATAAAATGTACACAAATTCTTCTCCACGGTATTAACACTACTGACATACAATCGACTGAAAGACATGCTGAAAGTCAATATCCCTTCACCTTCTATATATCTGAGATGATTTTCAAGAATTTAACCCACTAGAAAAATAAAATGCATTGGTTTTGCACTATTTCTCTATGAGACAGTATTGACTAGTGAAAATTAAGTGGCTTTTGAGTCAGGCAGTCTTAAATTTAAATGTCACTCTCTGTCACTTACTAGGTGTCTGACTTTAGGCAAGTTATTGTTTTATTTTTGAATATGTAGCATACCCAGATAGCTCAACATTTTAAAGGTACAAATCATCATAGAGAGACAACACCCCCTCCTACAACTATCCCTAGTCACCCAGTTGTTTTTTTTTTAATCTCCAGTGGTAATCAATGTTTCCTGTGTATTCTTTCAGAATTAGTGTATGCATGCATCAGCAAAAGTGTATCTTTTCCTGATTTTTAAGCAAATGATAACATATAATACTTCCATATCTTACTTAACAAAATATCTTAGAATCATTCCGTATCAGAATATAAAGACTGTCCTCATTATTTTTCACAGCTGCATATTATTCCATTATTTTATTATACTATAAATTATTTAAATAGTCTCTTATTAATGGGCATTTTTAAAGTTTAATGTTTTAAAAACATTTGAATAGTTCTTTAACCTCACCACATCTGTTTTTGCTCTTTTGTTATTGTTGGTGGTGGTTTTTGCGGGGGGCAGTTTCTCATCTGTGAGGTGTAGTAATCATCTCGTGGCCTTGATGTAAAAATAAATCCATTCATTTAATAAGTATTTACAGAGTACATGCTATGGGCCAGACATTGTTCTAGATACCCAAACATTAATAATGAATGAAAAACCAAAAATATTTTCTTTAGTGAATTTCTTCTAGTGCAGAGAAATAGATAAAACTAACAAATTAATAAAATATGTACTATATCAGATGGGAGCAAGTGCTGTGGAGAAAAATAAGGCAGATAATAATAAGGGTAGGTATTACTATGGATCTGTATATGTGTGTCTGTGTGTCTGTGTGTCTGGGTGTGTGCACAGGGGAGCAGGGGAGGGAGTGTTTCATTTTAAATAAAGTGGTCAGGAAAACCCTTATGGAAAAAAGTAATATTTGAATAAAGATCTGAAGTAGATGAGGGGGAAGTGTGTTCTAGGCAGAGGGAACAGCGAGTGCAAAGGCTCTAGGTTGAGAGCTTAAGAAACAGCAAAGAGGCTAGTGTTATTAGAACAGAGTATGTAAGTAGATAAGATTAGTGAAAAGATGCAAATTACGTCAGGGCTTTACAGGTGATTGCATGTACTCTCGGCAAGGAGAAACTT